ACCACAGTGACAAAACATACAGAACTCAATGTTGAAATTAGACACATTTAATCCCTCAAGGTCCATATCCATCTCTCTTCATATCACAGTGACATCTGTGCATTTTAAAAATGTTAAATTGAACTCAGTTGATAGCAGCTGGAGTGTTTGCAGGTAGAGCTGGAATCTGAATCTGTAGAACACAACACAAACAAACCTAGTCTCTTAGTCCTATCTACTGCCTGCTTATTATAGCAGCACTTCTTATTGCCAGTGGCTATAATTAGCTCCTGGGGTAACATTAAGTCAAGTTTCTTTCAAAACTGACATCACCATGATGGGGGAAAGCGGGGGAAAGCGAAGAGCAGCAAATTATAAGGACAACCCTCCTATTAGAATTTGCTGATTCTGGACCAGGCGAAATGAGAAAGATGAAGGTAGCACATTTTGTCTTGTGTCAGTTTTTGGTACAGCTAGCAGTTTCTGACCCTGCTTTTTCAGGTTGTTGGGTCCTTAGCTTTGGAATAGGGGTTGTGTGCCCTTGAGCTTTGGTGGAATTTGTATTTTAGAGTGGATGATGTATTTCAGCGGTGGTATAGTTTTGAAAGGTGTGTGTTTGCACATGAGGTAGTTTCCAGGTTGCTAATATATAGACACACATGTAGATCTGTTGTGGCTCCTCCTTTATCTTGAAGCAAGGACATGTCATGGTTCACTTTGTAACTTTATGAAGAGGGAAGGAGAGTAGGCACCTCAGAGGGCTGTGTAGACTTTACCGCAGTTGATAACATTTATGGCTTCCTGGTGTGTATTTAAAACAGGATAAGACATGAAGAGGAAACAAGTGAGGGTGTTTGTTTAGATGTTCCTACTTCTGCGTTTCTATTCCCACAGGGAAGAAGAGGAATTGGAGGGCTTTTTCATCCTCCATCATGTCATTATCAAATGTAGAAGAAGATCACTCCCATGCTAAGCTATGAAAACTGTCTTTCCCTCCCTATTTGACAATAGCGGTAAAAGTAATCTGGAATCAACATCACAATGGTAGGTTTGGGGATGTTTTTTATGTTTCACATATGTTCCTTGTAAGAGCTAGTGGGCATTCATATTCTAGTTCACTCTTGTGAGTTACAACATGCTTGAGCTTGTTTCCCTCCCAAAACCCTAGTACAAGGGTTATGTGATTGTAAATCTCAGTTGTCATTTTAAAAATAAGTTTCTAAGCCCTTATACTTGTGAATAAAAGCTTGAAAATGTGCGCCCCAAAGGTCCAAAACCTACAAGGCAAACAAATACTGCTGTAGTACTAGTATTAAATAGTATTAAAACTTAGTTTTTAAAAAAAATCTAATGATTTTAGAACGCTTGGGAGTTGCCAATAGTTTTGTGCCAGTTTAAAGTGAGGATCCAAATTGCTGTCATGATCATATAATATTCAATGTGTTGATCCTATCTGGAGCCCGTTTCCATTTTTAGGTGGAGAAGTGTGCATGCATTTGTAGCATATTGGCTGCGGATCCAAGGTAGGATCTAGGCCAGGGGTGGGTAATAAATTGGAGGACAATCATGACACTATTTCCCACAGCTCCCGTTGGCCTGGAATGGTGATCTCTGGCCAATAGGATAGGGATGTCAGTAGCTAACAGTTGAACCTATAGTCGATTGGTGGTCCAAGTTTAAAATGAAGAGCACTCAAGGGAGCCACTTGCAAAGCCAGCCCCAACCCCAGCACACGCTGGGAGCGAAAGTCTGTGGGGCTGGAGATCCTGCTTAGTTGGTTAACTGGTTAAATGTTAGGTATATATAACGTTTAACTGGATAACTGATTAACATTCCTAATTTCTAGTAGAAATATGATATCCCCTCAAAGATCTCTTACTCTTTTCTGAGACCCAGGAGTAAGGAAATTTGTGTTAATAAAGTTGTCAGCATAAAAATGATTTTGATAGCTGTATTTTTCCTCGTAGCCTCCTCAGTTTGTTCTGCTTCTTAGGGCTAATCACTATATTCCTTGTTTGCACAACAATCTTTCAAAAACGGCAGGCTTTTTCAAAAGATCTCGTCTAGACCGCGGTTTTACTTTCGAAATGGCGCTTGTTTGAAAGAGCACCATGATGCGATTATGCAAATGAAGCACGGGATATTTAAATCCCCACTTCATTTGCACTTTTGAAGTGCCTCATTTACATCCCTCTGTCGACAGAGGGATGTAATCTAGACATAGCCAAAGTGGCAGTGCCGTGTGGAGCCCAGGCTCAGCTGGGGACTCCCTCCCCCCCCCCATGCTGGCCTCGGGTTCCATGTGGCGTGCTACTGCTTTGAAATGCCGCGTTGAGCCTAACACCGGGCTCTCTGCAGCATTTCAAAGCAGCAGTGTGGCATGAAGCCTGGGGTCAGTTGCCGTTTTGAAAATGCTACGGAGAGCATGCGGCCAGCAGGGGACTCAAGCAGTCCCCTGCTGGCTTTGTGCTCCCCATAGTGCTTTCACCTTTGGTCTGTTGCTACACTTCCTAGGCAGAGGCACCCTTATGACTAATTGACTAGTCAGTGCAAATTGCATCAACTATTTGATTAAACAATGAATCAAAATTTTACATCCCTAATTTGTAGGTATCTAAGTTTGAAGACCATGGATTATGAACTTCTGGAGGGAAATTTTTTTTTGTCTTTAAACTGACCTGTTCTTTGTGCCTAGGTTACTTTATCATTTGCTAACTATAACAACATTTAGGGCTGTCAATCACAGTTAACTCATGAAATTAACTCAAATACTGATTGAAATCTTTAAAATATTTTATTTTTTTTACATTTTCAAATATCTTGATTTCTATTGCAACACAGAATATGCAGCATACAGTACTCACTTTATTTTTTAATTAAAATACGTGCATTGTAAAAATGGTAAAAGAAATAGGTTTTTCAGTTTCGCCTTATACAAGTACTGTAGTGCAATCTCTTTATCGTGAAAGTAACTTATAAGTGTACATTTTTTGTTGTTGTTGCACTCAGATCAAGACAATGTAGGCTGTGAAGTTTTACAAGTGCACTCAATCCTACTTCTTGTACAGTCAATTGCTATGTCAAACACCTTTATTTACGTTTATGGGAGATAATGCGGCCTATTTGTTATTTACGATATTATCTGAAACTGAGAACAGGCATTGCAAGGTGTGTACTTGCCAAATATGCTAAACATTTGTATGCCTCTTCATGCTTCAGCCATCATTGCATAGGACATGCTTCCATGCTGATGATGCTTATTAGAAAAAAATGTGCCAACTCCTCAGGGGGAGAATTGTATGTTTTCTGTTATATTTTACCCTCTTGCCATATATGTCATGTTATAGCAGCAAAGAAGGTACCAATGTAAGATTTCTGAAAATAGCTCAATCCAAGCTTAAGAATCTGAAGTGCTATCTAAAATCTGAGAGGAATGAGGTGTGGAGCATGCTTCAAAAGTTTTAAAAGAGCAACACGATGTGAACTACAAAAAGAAAATCAAGCGTCTTCTGGTGGCGTCTGACTCAGATGATGAAAATGAATGTGTTGATCCTCTCTGCTTTGGATCATTATTGAGCAGACCCTATCATCAGCATGAACGCATGTCTTCTGGAACAGTGGTTGAAACATGAACGCGTACATGAATCTTTGGGATATCTGGCATATGAATACCTTGCAATACTGGCTACAACAGTACCATGCAAATGCCTGTTTTCACTTTCAGGTGACATTGAAAACAAGAAGGTGCCAACATTATTTCCAGCAAATTGTAACCAACTAGATTTTCTGAATGACTGGCTGTACGAGAAGTAGGATTGTGTGGACTGGAAGGCTCTAAAGGAGGGATGGGGAACTATGGCCCGTAGCTTGCCTTGATCCTGACTGTGGCTTGCCATAAATCTGGCCCACCAGGGCTACCACCACCTACAGTGGGGTAAGCTGGCAGTCTAGCCATGTGGGCAGGGGGAGCGTCCAAAGCAGAGAGAGATGTGGAGCCAGACCTTAGCTCGCATTAAGGCTCCTGGTGAAGACCCACATTTCTGAAGTGTTGAACATCCAGCTGCTTCCATTGTGACACACATGGGCTGACTTCCAAAGTACTCAGCATTCAAGGTGTAAGTGGTGGCTAAAGAACAGTTTTTAACAGAACCAGTGTAGTTTCTCTTTTCTGCCCTCATATCTAACCATGTTTTACATCGTTACCATTTTTGGTAGATAGTAAAATGTGTACAGTTGCATTCTTAATATACTAACCTTTTCCATCTGCATTCTTTTCAGCAAGGAGCTGGCTCTCAATATTTGTGACCCAAGATTTTGTAAGACTTTGGAAGTTCTGCTGCACACATCTATCTTGTAGCTACTTCTGGTGAATATGTCTCTGAAATATTTAAAACGGAGTTTTTTGGCACTCTGTATGCTTTCTGTCATAATAATGACATGGTACATGACACTGCCTTCTCATACTGTGATAGAGCATACCAACTGGATGTATTTCTATGAATATGAACCAGTTTACAAGCAGAATTTCCTCTTCACACTGCAGGGGGATTTGAAATGCAAAGATACACCTCCATTTCTGGTCATCTTGGTGTCTTCACAACCCACAGATGTGGAGGCAAGGCAGGCTATTAGAGTAACATGGGGTTCTAAAAAATTCTGGAGAGACTATCAGGTTCTAATACTGTTTTTATTAGGACAAGGAGCTGAAAGAGAAGACAGCTTAGATGTATTATCGATAGACGATGAAAGCATTCTGTATGGTGACATAATTCGCCAAGATTTTATGGACACTTATGACAATCTTACCTTGAAAACAATCATGGCATTCAGATGGGTGTCTGAGTTTTGTTCAAATGCTAAATATGTTATGAAAGCTGATTCTGATATTTTCATCAACACTGGCAACTTAGTTAAATTTCTTCAAAATGTAAATTCTTCAGACAGTTTTTTTACTGGTTACCCTCTAATTGATAATTTTTCCTACAGAGGGTTTTACAGAAAAACATATATTTCTTATGATGAATATCCATTTAAGGTATATCCTCCATACTGTAGTGGAATGGGGTATATACTTGATGGAAAACTGGCTCTGAGAATTTATGAAATGATGAGTCATATCAAACCTATTAAATTTGAAGACGTTTATGTTGGAATTTGCTTAAATGTACTAAAGGTGAACCTCTATATTCCAGAAGATACACAACTCTTCTTTTTATACAAAATTAACTTTGACATTTGTAAGTATAGACATTTGATTGCAGTACATGGTATATCTTCAAGTGAAATAATCAGATTTTGGCATGATTTGACAGACACTTCACTCATTTGTCACTGATCCTAGGTTAATATATATCTGTCAAAAGCTCACAGCTTTATCTTGGCCTTTTGATTTGAGTAACAGTGTAAAAAGTATCTAAAGTGTGTCTTGTAGAACAAGGAAATTGAAATGAGGTTTTAGAAAGGATCGCTCAGGTTTGTGGGAGTACCCTGATTACTAGGCACAATTGAAACAGTAGATATCTGTGGAGAGTTTTCAATATGGTGTTATTAAATTGAGAATTGACACTTTATGTAGCACCTTTTTAATACCAGAATTGTTTAGATTATATAGTGACAATACTGTGCTCACTCATTTTTGAACAATCTGCAGCAAGTATGGGGTCATTCTGCCTGAATGTCCTACTACTTCCTAGAGAGGATCTGTCCTATTAGGATTTACAGAACTGTAGCATTCCTCTTTTCTCAAAAAACTGTCACAAAAACCTAGACACTCGGGGAAAATTCTGTGTGTTTTCCTTCATATGGCACCCATCCGAGTCTAGATGTCCCCCATCAACATGCAAACCAATCCTCTGCACTGCATGAAGTTCAAAGTTGCTTGCTTGGGCAACCCCAATACCACCTTAGATGTATTGTACCAAGATTTTAAAAATTGGGGCCTAAAGTTAGAGCCCTGTTTTCATTGAAGTCAGCAGAAATTTCTAGGAATTCAGCACTTCAGAAAAATCAGATTGCTTTTTATGTGCCTATATATGTATTTTACAGAATTGCTTTGGTGGATTCAGATCTCTGAATTATTTAATGTATACGTAAATATACACATCAGAATATTAAAGCAGAAAGCCAGATGCAGTTATGGCAGGTCTATACCAATGCAATTTAGTTCAAGTAACTTACTTTCAAGTTGCTCTGCAATATAGCACAGTAACATCTATATGCTAATAGGTCCATCTCGAGACCTATCAGAATTCATTGAGAAAATAAACAATGAGATTTGCTGTAAAATGTGTGTTTAAATGTCTTACAAATGCTGACATAAGTTTCCATTTGCAAAATGATCTGTTTGCTTCAGAATTAAAAAAAATATATTTCTAGCCTTTTTTTCTAACAGGAATCTTAAAAGAAAAACAAATGTGATTTTGTATGTAGAAGTAGGTATTTTATTGTCTTAATCATACGAGCAAGACCATATTTGCAGTTTATGCTTCTGGTAGACAATACAGAAAATGCAGTTGCATTAATACAGTTATTATTGGCACATCTAAACTACATACCAAAGATACAACAGTTACATCCTGTACATCTACAATGACAGAGCACTGCCACTTTACTTATAATTGTACTATAGCTTATGTTATGATATTTACATTTAATTTGACTTTCAAATAGTCTCTTAGAGACAAATGTAGAATTAGGTATAAAAAAACCTCTTATTACCACCAAGAATGAGGTTTCATTGATATTCTAAACATGCGCTGTGATTAGTGTTGAATTTTGGTAACTTTACATCATGTACTATTTTACAATCTTACAGGTTCACTTAAATATGAAAGTGGAATCTTGGTATCTTAGGGGAGAAAATTGTGTTCACCACCATGAACTATAGACCTCGTATTTTGAAGTTCAGTCTAGTAGGGCACTCACTGATTCAGTGCTGATGGATAAGTGTGTGTGTTTGTGTGTGTGTGTGTGTGTGTGTGTGTGTGTGTGTAAACTAACTTGTTTAATGAAATTCTAAAGATAGGTAATATCGTCTTATTTAAATATGGTGGGTAGGAAGTGCTATTGTATTTTTATAACTAGAAATTACTGCAAAACTACAATAACTAAACTTCAGGGATCCAGTTATGATTTGAGTTTCACTGTAATTAGGTCTTGGATGGGGAGGAACTTTTTTAACTTTTACATATCATCCATCTTGTCTTATGATTGGTCATACATTGAAAAATGCTCACCTACAAAACCAGCATTTTATTTTAAACCTACCATGACTGGAACATTTGTTTATTTTAAAAGTCATTAATATTACTCTTTTGGGAAAAAAAACCCTTTGGCAATCTTCACAAAGCTGAGGTAAGACAGACTGCTGCAACCAACAAGAAAATACGAAACAGGTATGACAACAGGAGAATAGTAACATTCTTCAAGCAAGATTCTTTTGTCCCTAACATGTTTCTGTGGTCTAGACTGAAAAAAACTGATAGCAATCACAAGGTTTTTTCCTCCAGAAATGTAGATTTATACATCATTTATTAAACCTGAAAATGTAATTTAAATAGATGTTTTAATTTGAAACGGCCTCTTAGTAACACACACATTTTTCTGGCTTCCCTGTTTTCAGACATTTTACTATATTTATTCATAGACGCATAAAAATGTATAATACTGCTTGTCATATTACTTCAACAGAAATGTTGGCTATTTTAAAAACCAAACTAAACCTGATTGGAAGAAGGGAATTGAAAATAATCTTGTGACTTCACACTATCAGTCAGAATTTCAATATAGGCTACAACTTGTGTCCAAAAAACTAGGTCCCCTTCACAAATTATGTTAAAAATGAACTGTAAACTTCATCTTAAAGTATTTTATGACCCTGTTTATAAACATGCTGGCCTTGCAGATGAATCAGGTCAAAAATCTTCAGGACCATACAAATACTCATAGAAATAGGCAGTATTTTCAAAACACCTCAAACAGGGTTTGGTGTTTAGAGTTTTTTTTCTAGTGTATAGAAAATAGCATTCACAATGTAAAATTAATACTAACTGTATCACCTGTGTAGTCTTCCAGTAATGTTTGCACATTGAAGTATTTATACATTTTTCCTGGGATTAATTGCATACTTTCATATACAAAAGGTAAATACTTAAACTGAGTGGTTGTGTCTAGATTGCACCCCTTTTCCGTAAAAGGGATGCAAATTAGACACAGCATAATTGCAAATGAAACGGGGATTTAAATCTTCCCCACTTCATTTGCATAAACATGGCTGCAGCTTTTTTCTGGCTCGGGGCTTTGCCGGCAAAAAGCGCCAGTCTAGACGGGGATCTTTCGGAAAATAAAGCCTTTTCCGAAAGATCCCTTATTCCTGATTTTAAGAGGAATAAGGGATCTTTCGGAAAAGGCTTTATTTTCCGAAAGATCCCCGTCTAGACTGGCGCTTTTTGCCGGCAAAGCCCCAAGCCGGAAAAAAGCAGCAGCCATGTTTATGCAAATGAAGCGGGGAAGATTTAAATCCCCGCTTCATTTGCAATTGCGCTGTGTCTAATTTGCATCCCTTTTACGGAAAAGGGGTGCAATCTAGACACAGCCTGCAAGTGTACTGCAGGATTAACCATTTTAATGAGGATCACAGTCTGCATGTATTCTTTGCCTGTACCCTGTTTTGGTATTGTTCTGTGTCTGCTATTTATACAGTACTAAAACAAAGGCATGTACAGTAGTATTTACAGCAAATTGTATTCAATCATCTGTTTAATGTATTTTGGCATTGTTAGTCTTTAAAAAGTTTGTGTAATTTAAGCTGAATTTAGTTATGCTTAAAGTTTGAATACATAATGTACCAAACTTGAACTAGACACTGATTGAGGGTAAATTAAATAGGAGATAAACACTGAATTGCTAATCTATTGTATATGTTAGACATGTTACTATATGTTAATTAAATTATAAAACTCAGAAGTTGAAAATGTGGAAGTCGGTACTCTTCAGGCAAAATTCCCACTGACATCAAGGGGATGGTGGCGACATTTTGGACTCTCATCGGAAAATTGTAGTTCTTCCTATTCTTGAAGTAGAATGTATGGTTTGGGAGAATATAGAATTAGAATGTATGTGTTCCTGTGCATGTGCTTGTTAAAGCGATCTTCTTGATGCAGTTTTTTAAATACAGTAGACTTCCAATAATCCGGAACCTTTGGGACCTAGGTGGTGCCGGATTATCGGATATGCCCGACTATCAGGAGGTACTATAAACTGGTTATATATACTGTATACAGTATATACTGTATATAAAGTGTTAACCCTTTTTATTGTACATACTGTATACAGTATAATGTGTTAGTTTTTTTACCCTTTTTGCTCAGCACTGCTGCTGCCTTGTGACTCGTTTTTTGCAGAAGCTCACTCACTAGGCTCTTGACATTTTGATGCTGGACTATCGGGACTTCCGTGCAATTGGATGCTGGACTATTGAAGTTTTACTGTATATATTTTACATGTCAAAGGTTGAAAACCTTTTTTATATGCTAGTATTACTGTGTGATAGAAGGGAAATAAACACTTTTCACAAAGCAAGGATATATGGTTTGTTTATTTCCTTGTGTAATGGGATTCATGTTTTCTAATATATGAAAATGGTAAACTAATCTATAAATACATTTGGGGTCTCAGATAAGAAATTATAATCCTTAACGGGCCTGTTTTTCTATAGATGACTGCTAAGAAGGTATCTTTCTAATTTCAGAGAATATAGCTACTATATTATGGTTTGTTGCACCTTCAGTTATAGGGCTTTATTTTGCATCCTTAACACAAGCAAAAGCTGCATGCAATATATTGAAAATATTAAGTAGAATAAGCTAAATCACATTTATTCTCAGTTGGGATTTAACTTTATAGCTAAAACCTCAGGCTACATCTACACTGGCATGATTTTCCGGAAATGCTTTTAACGGAAAAATTTTCTGTTAAAAGCATTTTCGGAAAAGAGCGTCTAGATTGGCAGCACACTTTTCTGCAAAAGCACTTTTTGTGGAAAAGCGTCCGTGGCCAATCTAGACATGCTTTTCCGCAAAAAAGCCCCGATTGCCATTTTCGCGATCGGGGCTTTTTTTGTGGAAAACAAATCTCTGCTGTCTACACTGGCCCTTTTGCGCAAAAGTTTTTCGGAAAAAGACTTTTGCCCGAACGGGAGCAGCATAGTATTTCCGCAAAAG